TATGTCTTGATTGTCGGTCCCGAAGGGCGACTAGCTTACTTGAGTGGTCGCCCAGAACGCTCCAGGCCCGTAAAGAGCGGTCCAAGCCTGAGAGCGTTTTCTTACAGGCCACCTAACAATGGTACTGCACCCTGATTTGATGAATATGCGCGCAAACCGCCCCAAGTAACATCAGCATAAGGCGTAAAACAAGATGACTTGAAATACGTACACGTAAGGACAATAGTGTTTATGCTCCGTGGTCAAAACTAGATTGCCGGACATAGGCCTGCGCGATGGATAACTAGTCGCCCATAGGAAGCAGAGCAATTTCAAGCACGTTGGGAGGCAGGGCAGCCCTGGTGCTGAGACGTGATGACAAACTCCCTAGGCCAGAGGCCCGATGAAGGAGCGGCAACTGCCGGATCAGCGCCTAGTTTGAAATTACTGGCCATCTAATATAACGGAATCACGTGGGATTTTAAAAGCACGGGCCTGACTTCCCCAACTGTTTCTGGCCGGCAGCCCAGCAATTGGGCATTATTGTGATGTCCAGAGGAACTCTCATTCATGAAGCGGAGTCCCGGCCTGAAACCCATGAGACAACCGGGCATCAGTAGGTGCTCAACCGAGCAGTTACTATACGGGGATAGAAACCAACCCCAGAATAATGGGGAAACATTAGCGCTACCTTCACGCGCATCAAGGCATCTAATATAGTACACCTACATTATGTGTTCGGAAGCAATAAGAATTCCAGCCAGAGGGTTGGAGGCGGAAAGAGTAATTATTTGAGATTATGAAAGTATTAGAGATATTTTAGATGCCTAGATGAGAGCCGTGCAAGAGGGCATCCTTATCTACATCAACATTACGCACAAAATGACATTTTAGATATGGCAGAGATTCCTCATCTAGGAGAAATGGATAAGAAACCTCGGTCATGATTTATAAGAGATTTAAGGAAGAGAGCCAGGAGTCAGTGTCGGACATAGCGAAGTAGATCGTGGCAAAACATTCCCGCATACTACCAACTAAGGCAAACTACGATGTTAGAATATCCTAATATTGACTGCCACGGGCTCAAGTAAGCCCCTTTTTCATATGATCATTTTTTAAATCAAATGGCTGGGGCCATCAAGAAGATGGACAGCAACAGGACTTGAAGCTGAATATGAAAGGCAGTCTAAACGAGTATAGAGCTAGATCATTTTGGAGGGGCGGTAGGAGACGCGTTATGACTAACACATTAGCATACAAGTGAAGTGGTAATGGTGTGTTTGGAATCAAATAAGACTACGGACAAGTAAAGTATATTTATTTCAAAAAGTATACAATTTAAGAAGATAATCAGCTCATGGAAATCCGAAAAACCACGGCGAGGAGGGCCTTAATAACTAATATATAAAGAAAGATAAAAAATTATCAGGAACACATTTGGACATGTATAACGCAGTTGTCAATTCAAGGCAACTGAGATGCAACTCACCTTTAAAAGTCTATATACCTCACTTGTAGCAATCATTGAAAGGATTGACCAGCTCACCTTCGCTTTAGCCTACCAATGGAGAACATGAGAACTAGAACTTCCTAAGGTAGAACTAAT